GCTCTTTTGATTAAAGTATCAAAATCTTCTAGCTTTTATCAGGGGTGAGAAAGGGTGAGCAATGAGATCTAGTTTCTCTCAAACTCTCCTCTTAATGGAGAAATGATTTAGGACTGTGCTTGGGAAAGGCCTACCATAAAATGAAAAGTTATAGGTGGGACTCCTAAGAACGTGCTGATGTGCAATTCCAGATGAGTTCCTTTTTCACAGTGCTATACCTTTTGCTTGTTTTTTCCTTCAGAAAAGGGGAATAGTTTAATCACTCCACTGTTCTTGGGAGAGAGACAGAGGTGTTATTCGTTCTGATATGGACTAGCCCTTTTATTTTTCAACTCATCCCTTCCTTATCATCCAAGACAGAAGGAAGCCTCTGGAACAATGCCTGCTTTGCAATTCTATCCTCATTTGATCTGAGCCAAGGGTGCTGTCTTTGTAGCATGTCACCACGGAGACTTGATCAAACTCATGCTCGTGCACTTCATCTTGCAATCTGTTGCAGAATAGCTGATATTCCTTTCTCAGGATGGAGAACAGAAGGCTCTTAAATGAATTCTTTTAAGGAAACAGGAGCTGTGGAGAAATTGTTTAATTCAAGTCTGGGACACAGCACTTTAGAAATACACAAGATTAAACCTGCTACTGTTTGTATAACATATCTCAGGACGTTTGAATTAGACTTGGAAAAGGAAAAAGCACATCAGATGTGCTGATTATTCCATTGATTGTCAAACTTCCCCGGTTTGTCTCACTCAACAAGTATTTATTGAGCTAGGTAACTAACTTGAGTCTTGACTATGGAGAAATGAAGATGATCATGACATTGACTTTGCCCTAGAACACCTCAAGGTCTGGCCAAGGATTTAGAGAAGTAAACTAAGTAGAGCGTGATGTCATACAGACTATGACTGAGTCATGTGGAGAAAAACCAGAGAAAAGAACAACCATTTCCCAAAAGGAATAGAGAAAGTGAACAGAGCACATTCAGGAAGGCTTTGCAGAGGATGTGCCATTTGCATTTGCTTTCAAAGGTTTAATTCACAGGAATTCAGTAAGAAGAAAAGGGGAAATGAAAATAACTACTAACATCCAACAAAAGTTTGGAAATATGACAGAAACAAAGTTGTTAAACAATGCTCTAATGAGATTAGTGTGTTGAATCTGGGGTAGGAATTTGTAGGGATGCAAAAATAAATAATATAGGAAACAGATTCTCTTTGCCATATTTTGGCATATTTACTCAATTTTGTAGCAAAGGGAGGGCTGAATCATAAACAGTGATCAGAATATGAGTGGATTTTATTAGGACATTGAACTTAAATTGAGAATAGTGAGGAGGCTTTGCTGGGCTTCTGGTGAGGGAAGGATATGCTCAGATTTGGTTTCTAAGATCCCATTTTTCTTAATATAGGAAGAAAACACTTGTTGCAGGAGTGAGAGGCTCAAGGCAAAATTACAGGGACTCTAATCACCTAGTCAAGAGGCCTTGATTGGAACAGAAGGGATACATAGGACAGGCAGGGATATTATTGATAGAGATAGAAATAAATTGGAATTGAGACAGAATTAGCAGGTCTTCCTGACACATTCTATGAGAGGCATTATGGGAAACTCAGTCCCACCCAATGGAAGACTTCCCAGGAGGCACACAAGATAATTCTACTTGGCCAGAATTTTAGTCACTTGTCAGTAATTAGCAGCACTGCAAGCTGGGAAATGCATTCTTTATTCTGGGGACTCACATGATTGGCTGAAGGTGTGTGCTTATCAAGGGGGGCAGTGGCAATTTCTATTACCTATACCTGTATTATAGCTGCACTATTTTACTTCACCATATTTTTTTTTCTTTTGCAAAAGTGGGGATTTGAACCCTGGGCACTCTACCACTGAGGAACATCTCCAGGTTCTAAACTGCACTAATACTTTTGTTTTTTTGGTGGTATGAGAGTTAGAACTCAGGGTTTTGTGCATGCTAAGCAGATACTGTACTACTTAAGTCATGCCCTTAGCCATTTTTTGCTCTGGTTATTTTTGAGATAGGATCTTGCTTTTTTGCCTGAGCCAGCCTGGACTACAGTCCTCCTATTTTATGCTTCTAGCTGTGGCTGGAGTGACAGGCGCATGCCACCACATCAAGCTGTTGTTTGAGATGGGGTCTTGTGAACTTTTTTTTTTTCCCCTAAGATAGAGTGGAAAAGCACACCTCCCCATCTCAGCCACCAGTATAGCTGGGATGATAAGCATGAGCCATCTGTGTCTGGCTTTATTTTTACCCTTCTGCTGAAAGGAAACTGTGAGCTCTTCAAAGGCAACAGTGGTTCTTATTGTATCTGTAGTTTCCAGCAGTCCCCTGGCAGAGGTAGACACATAAATACAGAGCACATGTTGAAATGAAACAATCTTACAGTTACTTAGACATATTTCATGTTCTTCCTGCTTTTGAACTTGGCATCAGATGACTCTTGTACCTTTTGCATGCTCACACTTATTCCTGTCCAACCCCTACCATTCCTTCCTAGGTCAGCTCAGGCCATACAGCAGTCACTTCTCAGAATGTGGACAAATGTTATTTTTATTATAAAAAATGTATACAGTAACACTTCCTTACAGGCAGTTTCACTTTCTACAGTTTCAGTTCCCTGTCATCAGCCAGGAATGTCATGGCTCAATGGCTTGATGAGCTTCCTTCTGACCCATATAAGGACATGTAGTAGTAAACATAATCAAGGTCATTTTTTCATCTCTCAAAATGTATACTGAACGCTGGATGTGGCGACCAATAGTCACCTAACAGTATATCACAATGCCACCGTCATTTCCATCATTTCATCCCATCAGGTAGGCACTGGATCATCTCACATTACTGTAAGAAAAAAAGGGTGAGTATAGTACAATGAGATTTTTTTGAGTGACAAAGTTCATATAGTTTTATTAAGTGTCTTATTATAATTATTTTATTAGTAGTAGTTATTAATGTTTTTCTGTGCCTAATTATTAATTAAACTTACTAAATCTTCCAAAGGTGTGCAGGATAGACTAAAAAATAAGGCAAACACAAGGGAAAATGGTAGCACTGGTGCTCTCTCCAGTGTCCAGATATACAGTCCTAAAATTTTAACTATAAAGATGTGAGAAATGGAAAAAAATAGAAGGATAAAAAAAGTATATTGACTGGAAATATGTTAAGGAAAAGGGAAGTATGAACAATAGGTTTGAAGCTAGAAACTTAGAGGAATTGTACAGCATCTCCAAAAGTAGAAAAAGTCCAAAATTAGGATGGAGGTTGGAGACAGAATGATTTTATAGCAAAGATAAGGTTAGTCTTACCCATTTAGGCCTTTCCATCTTAGTTAAAATTGTAATTTATCAGCACCAATCTTCTTTTTCCTTGGACATAACATTCATCCCTCACTCTTTGAACTTTTGAAGAAAGCTAAGGAACTTCAAGTACAAACATCGCCTCTCCCCCAAATGCCATATTTAGTGGTAACATTTTCTAGAATTTCTTTTAATTTCACCAGAGCCTTTATATTGTAGCTTTTTACTTCCAGTGTTTACAGACAATCCTTTTCTTTACTGGTGGATGTTTGAAAGAAGAGATTGGAATTAATCCTCATATTCATTTTTAGCTTCTTCCAGAGCATGCACGGAACAAAAAATCCTAAAGGACAACATATTAACTAATAAGAAAACAAATAGTTGGTACCCTGTCTTAGCAGATTATCTTCAGAGTCATTCTGCATTGGGTCCTGAAGCAAGGGACCAAGGAAAGGTTAGATGAAACCCACCATCATGAAGCTCACAATTGAGTGGTGTGGATCAGATGGCTGCAGAGGTAATTTTAACCGTGTGTCATTGGTGTTTAGCATCCAGGTGCTTTCAGTGCGCAGATGCTAACACCATGCTGGAAATGGTAGCCACAGTAAGGAGACTCTGTCTTCACCCAGGTAAACAAAGAAAGGGATGGTAGTTCCTTCCTTATATTCAGAAGTGTGGGAGACGCCAACATCCAAGAAAACACTAGTTTGTTCCTTGCTGAACCAGCAAGCCACCTTCCTCCTATCCACCTATGTTCCACCAAGGCATTTGGAACTCAGCCCAAAAACTTCCAGCATGTTGGGGAGGGAGAGGGTCAAGGGGAGGATGTTTCTTATCGCTGTGATAATCTGATTTCAAAACTCTGTATTCTTTAATTAGGAAAATGTATCTGTCTACAAATTTCAATGAGTTTGAAGGGCTTTGAAGGCTATTCATGGACCAACACCGGCCATTCCAGATTTGGAATCCTTAGTCCGGATTTTCTTAACTGCAGTCATTAGCTCGGAAGGCCTCAAACTTTACCTGATATTAAAATTACTTGGGGACTTAAAAAAATTCCTATTGCCCAAGCCAGGCTACTTCCTGTTTCAATGACATCTAAATTTCTGGAGGGGACCTAGGAATCAATATACATATTTTAAACTCTCCAGGAGACTTCAAAGTGCAGTAAACACACAAGTCTTTTGTCACCCAGTCGATTTAAGTACTCTGTGGTTGTTGGCTGTATTTTTGTTTTTGTTTGTTTAAGAAAGGGTCACTCTATGCAGCCCGCACTGGCCTCACCTTCATGATCCTCCAGCCTTAGACACCTGAGTGCTAGGATTAAGTGCGCCACTACGCCCAAATTGTTGGCTGTTCTTAATCATTGTGTCAGAAACAACAGATCTGTACTGCAGAAATAATTTATTTATAACTATCTTAGAAAAAAAAAAAAAAGATTGAGACCAGAGGTGTGCCTAGCTCTCCAGCACTTCCCCAACTGGACCAGCAAGTGCAATTTCTTCACAGAACGCCAGGGGGCATCCTGTCCCTCCCCGCTGTACCCGGAACGTCTTCGCGTTCCCGGGCGCACAAAGAGCCCGGCCTCCTCGCGGGTGACATCACAAAGGGCCGCTCCCCCGCCCCCTCGGCGCCACCACGTGTGTCCCGGCGCTCGGCGGCCACCCGACTCAGTCCCTCGCCAGCCGGTCCGGGCAGCGGAGGAGGGCGGCTTGGTAGTGCCTGGAGCTTCGCTATGGGAAGTTGTTCCTTTGCTGTCTCGCCGCCAGCCCTGCTCCCTGCTTCTCCGCAGCCGCTGTCGGAGGCGAGCACAGCGAGGCGCGGGCGGCATCCGCGGCTACTCCTCCCCGCCCGGGCGCCCGCGCCCCTGGGCAGGTGCTGAGCGCCTCAGAGCCTCCCCTGTCGCCTCCCTCACCTGCCCGGCCGCCCCGCTGCCGCAGTGCACATGGGCTGCTGGAGGTAGATGGGCTCCACGCCCGGGAGGCGGCGGTGGATGCGGCGATGGGCAGAAGCAGCCGCCGGTGCCAGCTGCCGTGGGGCCGCGCGCCCCGGGCGCTCCTGCGAGTCCCCGGCTCAGCCACGGGGACCTCCACGAGCAGCAGCAGCGCCCTCGCCTCCTGCAGCCGCATCGCCGGCCGAGTCGCAGCCACGATGATCGCGGGCTCCCTCCTCCTGGTGAGCGCTCGTGGGGACCGAGGGTGGCGGCTGCGCCCGAGCCGCAGGAGCTCTTTTCTGGGAGCGGGGCGGGTCCCCGGGCCGGCTGGGTTGCTAAGGGTTGCTTGCGGGAAGCAACACACCGGAGGGCTCCTGCTAGGTCATTTGGGGGAATCGCAGGCTCAGCTGGGACTCGGCAATGAAGGCGAATTGTTTTCTTAGCAGCGTAGTCTGATTGCGTTGGAGATGGCGCAAGAGGTGGCTGCCCGGCTTCCTGCGCATTTCAGGGCTTTTCCCCCCACTCGGCCTACCTCGCATACCCACACTTACCCTCACCCCCACACCCGGGAGCGCTGGCCCCTCCGCGTGGTGTGGGGCCCGAGCTGCAGCGCCGGGCGCCGCCGCTTTGTTGCAACCGCAATGTCATGTCCGGATGCTACCGCAGTGGGAGACAGTGGTACCCGTGCGCGCCGGCCACCGGCGACCGCTGGGTGCTTCCGCGGTGCATTCCCGAGCAGGGCGCAGGCCGTCCCCTCCTTCGCCCCTCCACCATCTCCTCCATCCTTCCTTCCTTCTTGGCTGCGGTGGGTCCCAGTTTCTGCATGCCAAAAAAAAAAAAAAAGAAAGGAACCCGTAGACCACTCAGGCGCCTCCAAGCACCGGCTCTGAGCCAGCAAGCGCACTGGCTCTCCGGTAGGGGGGAGGGGAAATGAGCTCTGCTTAAAAGATTTTCTCCAGTCTTTGCTACCTGTGGTTAGGCAGGTGACCCTGCAGGATGGTGCAGGTCCCTTCAGTATCCAGGCTGCATCCACATCTGGGGCACTCCCTATGCCCAGTCCTCCATCACATATGTGGCCAAAACGTGAACTCATCCCTGACCCAAAACTCACCCTCAACTTCCCCCACATCCCTCCCCCTTATTTCCAGTATTGGGATGAGCCAGGAATTAGGTGGAATAAAATTTGAGATCAAGCCCTTCAACATCATAAACTTTGCATGCCTCTTATCCCTGCAGGGAGGATGGAGACTGTTAGCTAAAAACCAAACCAAACAAAAAGAGCCTGTTTTCATGGCAAGGCTGTGTAAGGGAAAGGCAGGCTTGCTGTCTCCTGCCCCCAAGGGCCCACTGCCCGGCCAGCCAAGATCTGCTTGTTGCTCAGGCCTGGGAATTCATCCTACAGACACTCTGGTTCCTTCTGTGTGTATTTTAAGAGGAAAAGAGAGAAGAAACCAAGAGTAAAGAGAAGTTTTTTGCTGTTAGCATTTATAATGAAGCAAGTTCCAGAGACTCTTTTCTGCCTTTTATAATAATGGCTAAGTCCAGGTTTGTATCCTTGAAACAAGTGTTGGCAGGTGGAAAGCATTGGAAGTTTCTTAGGGCAAGAATCTAGATTGACTGTCTTAGTCTATAGAGAAGCCCATTCTGTGCCCTTGGGGACAGTGATCCCAATATCAGTGGAGTTAGGTCTGTCACTGGGTTTCCTTCTTCATGGCCTTACACCCACTGCTTTAATTCCACTACATGTTTGTTGGGTGCCCCAGTACATTCGATTGTAAAACTTCTCGTAGAATTCACTTACAGAGTAAATCTTAAGTCATTGTGCAATATTTCATCTATTTACCATGAGATAGCTACTTAATCAATACAATCAAAGGGTAGGCTTCAATAATCAAGAAAGGGCCCATCTCCTTTTCTTAAATCATCAAACTCAGCTTACCCCAAAATCGTGGACTGTGTTTACAAATGAAGATCTAGAATGTAAGGTTGGCTGTTAAAAAATGGAATTTATAATGGGGTTTTAGAGGCAATATCAAGGTGATAACCAATATAGAAGTTCTTATTCTTTAGTTAACTATAATGAAAAGGCTTCACTTAGTCAGGCATAGTGGCTCATGCCTGTAATCCTAGCTACTCAGGAGGTGATCGGAAGGAGGGCTGTTTGAGGCCAACTTGGGCAAAAAGTTAATGAGACCCCTTCTCAACAGATAAGCTAGGTATGGTGGTGCATATCTGTAACCCTAGCTATGCAGAAAGCATAGGCAGGAGGATTATCCTTGAGGCCAGCCCCAGGCAAAAGCATGAGGCCCTGAAAAACAACCTAAAACAAAAAGGGCTGGAGATATTGCTCAAGTGATCAAAGCAACTGCCGTGCAAGCTGCAGGGCCCTGAGTTTAAACCCAAAACAAGTCAAACATAAAAAAAGTTTCACTTAAATTCCAGGAATCCTGAAGGATGACCAAGGGGGTGTGCCAGAGGTCATCAGGCACTATGTTCTAGCACTCAGTCAAGGTGGGGAAGAAAGGCCTATCTTTCCCATTCCCACTCTGCAGGCTTATGTGTAAAGCAGTGATCTCTTCACATTGTCCCCAGGGACATTTGTCCCACTGGAATTCTCAGCCATATCAAAATGTCTATCAGAGCTCAGGTAAACATGGTGGGGTACTCAGAACACCACTGGAGGACCTGAAGTTAGATTAAAAAACAATAGTGCCACTGGAATGTCTCATTCATTATGACTTAAAATTAACCCTGTTCCTTCAACTTATCTCCCTTTTTGTGTGAAAGTCTTAGTTATCTTTGTGAAACTTTGGCATGATAGGCTATCTATATATACACATACACTATAAAATATATACTATGATATATATAGAGAGCAATTAGAGAGAGAGAGAGAGAGAGAGAGAGAGCGTGGGACGGGGGGGGGGTGGACAGCAATTACTTAGGTGCAGGATACTTTACATCAATATGTCATCTACTTCCAAAATCTCCGTGATAGTGCCTCCATTTTACAGGTGAGAAAATAAAGCTTTAAGAATTTCACAAGTCTGTTCTAAGCCACACAGCTTGTGTATGATGGCCCTGGGTTGAAACTCTTCAGCACTGTTTTCCCTCTCCCCTGTGCTATAGTGCCTGTTTCACAACTTCAAATTGCTTGATAATAAAATGCAACAATAGAGAAAGGTTACTGGGGGAAAGTTGAGATGACAGCTTGGTTTGTTGTAGAGCTTCCGTGAGTGTCTTTGGAAGGAACTGTTCTTGCTGGTTGCAGTTCTGTTTCTGATGAGTTGGGGCATCTATGTGATATTAGGCAGTAATGTACAAACTGAAAGACAAGATACGTGTTCCAGGCCCAAAGTCTGGAGGGAGGGTAAATGAGACCTGTAGGTTTGTGCCAGTTTAATGAACGCCCTAGAATGGCTTACCCAAGGTGACAATATCCAGTCAGAGATGCCCTTTTCCCTCAGGGAGCTTGCTTTGGCTGTACAGGTAGAACATTGGCAGGTAGGCAGGAGAGAAAGGAGTTTGGTATGGACATTGGATCTGAAGTTTTGGAAACTACTATTGTACCTATAATATGAATTCCAGACAGAGTACCATTTGTTGTAATAGCCTGTCCAGCTGTGTCTGCCTGGAAAGTACCAAGTATTAGTGTTTGACACTGTTACTGAGACCAGACATCTAGGTTAGAGCTGCCTTCTGACCTTCACTTTGGCTATTGGACTAAGCAGGTTGTGGGGTGGTCTGGTGGGGGCTGAAGTTCTGAATCATGCCATGGCTAAGGAACAAGTTCAAGTAGAACTTCGAATTAAATTTCTATGCACTTGAATTCTGCAATCCTAGAATATGAAAGCTGGAAGGGAGCCTATGCCCTATATTTCTTAGTTGAGGGAAAAAGCAGTCTACATTGAGGAAATGACTTTTTTTCATGTTGACAAACCCTACCTTGATCACCCTTTTCTAGTGAGGCGCTGTCCTGGCTGGTGCAAACCCAGAGATGAGTTGGGGTTCGGATGTCACCATGAAGGTGGCTGTCAGTACTGCTGGTTGGATTTCACTTGCTCATGTGGAATCAGTGGGTGAATGTACTTGGCCCAGAATAAAATGCAAAAGGGGATTGATGTTAAAATCTTTATAAAATGCCTGAAGTAACTTTGGCTGTTAGTTTGAAAGAGAAAGAAAACACCTCTAATCTCAGAATAATGTACCTCAGCCTCAGGAGGGAGAGTGACTTATGGGAAGTCAGGAATGGGGAGGAATGGTCAACTCAGAACTTGAACTGGAATGAAGGATTCCTGACTTACCACATCTGTTATCCCCAGTCAAAATGTCTAGAATGGGTTCATGTTTTTGTTTCTTTGCTGCTTGTTTTGGTGGTACTGAAGTTTGAACTGAATGCCTCATGCTTTCTAAGCAGGCGCTATTGCCATTTGAGTCGCTCCACCAGCCCAAAACTAAGATGGGAGATAAAACTTTTTTTTTTTTTTTTTCCTTCTAGCAGTACTGGGGTTTGAACTCAGGGCCTCACGCTTGCTAGATAGGCACTCTACCACTTGAACTGCTCTGCCAGCCATAAAGGCATTTGTTTGAATCTGCCTCAGGTCTGATCTGAAATGGACAAACAAGCCTCCAGGGTAACTAAACTACAAAAGCAAACCAAATAAGCACATACAACGCACACAATTTCTTGTAGTAAGATGTATCCAACTTTGATAGAAAAAACTGAGAATATATGAGTATAGATCCACCATCTGCCTTCATTATATAATTAGTGTAAGCTAATTTTGAGCAAAGTCTGTCAACTAATATATACGAAGCATGGTCAATGCTGTATTTTCTTGGGTAGTTTACAGATAGTTGCTTTCTCCATGTGTAGCCTCACTGGATAGGAGGAAGTAAGTGTAGGCTTCTGGGTGTGCTCTTGTGAGAAGTCTGTGTACTTTGTATGTTGAAGCTCAGAATGCATAAACATCACACTTTAACTTTGCACTTGACTCCGTCCTTGAGGATGAGAAGTAGAGCCTCTTTAGAGGTTCCACAGGCAAGTTGCAAACTGGTTTTGTGTTTGTTCAACTAGCCCCTTGTAATGCATGTAAACTGTAATTGGCTTAAATAAAGTTTATTAATTGTTTTTCTTTTGGTGACAGGAAATGACCAGATGCATCATCAGACTATTCAGGGACGAGCATGAGCTGAGTGACTTTGCCTTGCGTAAACAGCAGTGCCCATTTGCCAGTAAGCA